AAATTAAATAAGACATTATAAAATAAGACCAAAAAATAATTAAATAAAAAATTAAATTTAATAAAACATTTTACAATAAGACTATAATAAAATAAAATAAAGTACAATGAAATAAAATAGAGTAGAATAAAAAAATAAAATTATATTAACTTACATAAATTAATATCAAATAATGTATAATAAAACACAATTAAAAAATAATTAAAATAAAATAAATATATTAAATTAAATTACACGAAATACAATTAAATAAAGTAAAATTAAATAAAATAAAAAACTAAATTAATAATAAATTAAATTAAAGAAGGCATTATAAAATAAGATAAAAAAAAAATAATTAAAATAAAACATATAACAAACTATAACTAAATTATATTAAATACAATATATATTTTCAAATAAAACTAAATTAACATAAGATAAAATAAAAAATAATAATTAAATTATATAAAAATAAAATAAGGCAGAATAAATTTAATTCAAATAAAATATAATAAAAAAATAAATTAAATAAATCTTATTTAAAATTAAATGAGTGTAATTTAATAAAACAAGATTAATTAAAATAAAATAGAATAAATTAAATTGAATTAAAATTAAATAAAATAAAATAACTTAAAATCAAATAAAATACAAATTAAATTGAACTAAATGAAATTAAAGTACAATAAAACAAAATTAAATAAAAACTTACAAATAATATAAAATAAAACAAAAAAAAAACTAAAATAAAATTTAACTAAATTATTTATAATTTTATTATTAAATTATTATTTGTTTACTATTCATTGTATGTCAAACATATGTACATATGTGCACAGTTATTTATATGATGCTCTATTTTCTCTTAGACGCGTCTGCTCAAAAGAGATAAAGCTTACATAGATTTTTTCTGTCAAACAAATATCCAGCTCAGCTAAATAAGTATATATGTAATTAATAATGCACTCGCCCGATAAGAGCCAACAACGAAACCGGAAGTCTTCGAGTAAAGAATCCTTTGATAAAGTTATTATTTTACAGTTTTTAAATCAATAGAATAAAATTCTGTCTGTTAGAACGTTAGAAACGTTAGTGATAAGACTTGCATATATTTATGCTTGTCTATGATTAGCATAATCGACATATGAAGGCCACAAAACTGCAATTATGTTTATTTAATGAATGCATTCGTACTTGGAAATTATTTAATGTAATCTATTTCTAGTGCAAATTGTTTCGTTATTATTGTGCATCTATTTAAACTTAACTTATATGGAGGATTATGCAATAAAAAAGTGTCCAAAAAGTGATAATAGAAAAAAAAAGAAAATAGCAGTTATAATTATTGTTGATTTTTCGCAATTAATCAGGTTTTTAGCACAGCCCTCCTTGTTAAAGCAGATTTGCCTTAAGTATTCTGTACGTACAAATGTGTACATTGGCTTATCAGTAGATTGAAATGAGTTCAACTTGGGGCAAAGGTGTGTATTTGTTCATAGGTATATGTATTATGCATATATGTACATACATACATATGTGTAAATGCAGCTATTTACGATTTTTTTCTAAATTAAGTTTGCAATTATGTTTTTATTATTTCATTTTATTTAATTTAATTTAATTTAGTTTAATTTAATTTAATTTAATTTAATTTAATTTAATTTAAATTTATTTTATTTTATTTTATTTTATTTTATTTTATTTTATTTTATTTTATTTTATTTTATTTTATTTTATTTTATTTTATTTTATTTTATTTTATTTTATTTTATTTTATTTTATTTTATTTTATTTTATTTTATTTTATTTTATTTTATTTTATTTTATTTTATTTTATTTTATTTTATTTTATTTTATTTTATTTTATTTTATTTTATTTTATTTTATTTTATTTTATTTTATTTTATTTTATTTTATTTTATTTTATTTTATTTTATTTTATTTTATTTTATTTTATTTTATTTTATTTTATTTTATTTTATTTTATTTTATTTTATTTTATTTTATTTTATTTTATTTTATTTTATTTTATTTTATTTTATTTTATTTTATTTTATTTTATTTTATTTTATTTTATTTTATTTTATTTTATTTTATTTTATTTTATTTTATTTTATTTTATTTTATTTTATTTTATTTTATTTTATTTTATTTTATTTTATTTTATTTTATTTTATTTTATTTTATTTTATTTTATTTTATTTTATTTTATTTTATTTTATTTTATTTTATTTTATTTTATTTTATTTTATTTTATTTTATTTTATTTTATTTTATTTTATTTTATTTTATTTTATTTTATTTTATTTTATTTTATTTTATTTTATTTTATTTTATTTTATTTTATTTTATTTTATTTTATTTTATTTTATTTTATTTTATTTTATTTTATTTTATTTTATTTTATTTTATTTTATTTTATTTTATTTTATTTTATTTTATTTTATTTTATTTTATTTTATTTTATTTTATTTTATTTTATTTTATTTTATTTTATTTTATTTTATTTTATTTTATTTTATTTTATTTTATTTTATTTTATTTTATTTTATTTTATTTTATTTTATTTTATTTTATTTTATTTTATTTTATTTTATTTTATTTTATTTTATTTTATTTTATTTTATTTTATTTTATTTTATTTTATTTTATTTTATTTTATTTTATTTTATTTTATTTTATTTTATTTTATTTTATTTTATTTTATTTTATTTTATTTTATTTTATTTTATTTTATTTTATTTTATTTTATTTTATTTTATTTTATTTTATTTTATTTTATTTTATTTTATTTTATTTTATTTTATTTTATTTTATTTTATTTTATTTTATTTTATTTTATTTTATTTTATTTTATTTTATTTTATTTTATTTTATTTTATTTTATTTTATTTTATTTTATTTTATTTTATTTTATTTTATTTTATTTTATTTTATTTTATTTTATTTTATTTTATTTTATTTTATTTTATTTTATTTTATTTTATTTTATTTTATTTTATTTTATTTTATTTTATTTTATTTTATTTTATTTTATTTTATTTTATTTTATTTTATTTTATTTTATTTTATTTTATTTTATTTTATTTTATTTTATTTTATTTTATTTTATTTTATTTTATTTTATTTTATTTTATTTTATTTTATTTTATTTTATTTTATTTTATTTTATTTTATTTTATTTTATTTTATTTTATTTTATTTTATTTTATTTTATTTTATTTTATTTTATTTTATTTTATTTTATTTTATTTTATTTTATTTTATTTTATTTTATTTTATTTTATTTTATTTTATTTTATTTTATTTTATTTTATTTTATTTTATTTTATTTTATTTTATTTTATTTTATTTTATTTTATTTTATTTTATTTTATTTTATTTTATTTTATTTTATTTTATTTTATTTTATTTTATTTTATTTTATTTTATTTTATTTTATTTTATTTTATTTTATTTTATTTTATTTTATTTTATTTTATTTTATTTTATTTTATTTTATTCTGTTTGATTTTATTTTATTTTATTTTATTCTGTTTGATTTTATTTTATTTTATTTTATTCTGTTTGATTTTATTTTATTTTATTTTATATTTCTTTATATTATTTTATTTCGTTTCATTTTATTTTAATTAGTTTTTGACTTAAGTCGTCATGCGTATCAATAATAGAAATCAGCTAGTCACAGCCAAAGAAAGCACTTTTAAACTACAAATCGACATTTGAAAGTCCATTAAAACTAAAAAAAAAATACAGCAAATGTTAAAACGACATTGTTTACTCGTGCGTTAGTAGGTAACTTCAAATATTAGTGTTAATCTGCAGTTGTTATTGGATTATTTACAGATTAGCGGTAGCCAAGTGTCACTTGTTGATTTTTCATTCTGTCAGAAAGAACGGAATAAGATAGTTGTGGTGTTTTTTTTGTAATAGCAGGGGGTTGTTGACTTATATTATTTTACAGGCGTGTGTATGAGGAGGCAAATAATTAGGTGAGTAGGGCTTTCGTGTTACAGTTACGTAGGCAAATTGAAAAAAGTGGAAGTATATACAAATGCAAAATCTATATGTACGCATATTTGTATATACATACAACATATTTGTATGCTTAATTTCATTTACATACACTATGCCATTTTCTGCACATGCAGAAGAGATTGCTTCGAATATAAAGAAATGCAAAAATACAATTAAAGTTATCGATCATATCTCCTACTGAATAGGAATAGTTTAAAAGATATCATATTGCAAATATATACATTTTTTATATACATATACGAACATAATTCTTGTGATCAAGTCATATTAATGTACCACCGAATGAAGAGTTGTAGATTAGAGTAAAAGTTGAAAGCGTTGCTTATTTGATTATTTTTTTTACGTTCTAGGTTTTGCCCGACCTTCGTTTGATCTTATTAAATTTTCCTTTTTTAACGCCATTTGAATGTGTTTCCTACTTTCTAATAATATTTTTCGACAGATGGCGCATTCTTTTTTCAAATAAATTTAAACGGCAGCACCTTTTAATACAAAGTTGTTCTCCTTATATTTATATTGTTGCGAAAATGCGAGGCGAATGTCAGATGAAAGAGAGAAGCCGATAACTAGTACGTTCTAGAAACGATAAAACAAGAACCTTCCATAGCGAACAATTCGATGCTTCTACGCTTTCGTCTGCGAGCAGCCGACTGCTATATAAAGGCGACACTCAGCTGCAAGTCAAGTTAGTGACAAAGCGAACTGGTTGGCGTTAACATCAGTGAAGTCGTAAAGTGAACGCGTTGGAGATTACATTTAAGTAGAGTAAATTGTGAAAGTTGATGCAAGTGATTGTAGCTAGTAAAGTGTCTTATAATTGAATTGTGAATTACGGAGTAAATAAAGGACATTAGATCAAATCTTTATAACGAAAGATACTGCAAATAAAGTTGGCGAGTTTTATTTAACAATCCAGAGATCGTACCCGAAGGATCTAGAAAATAATCGAGGTTGATTTAGTAAAATCGTAACAATATATATTGATACCTATCAACAAAATCATATAAAATTACTTTAAAACATGATGCAACAATAATTTCAGTGCCTCACATTCGATTCAGTCTAATTTCATTACAAAATTAAATTCTCACTTAAGCTGTGAGAATCGTCAATAGAATGGCAACATCTCAAACAGCTGATGTGAAAATGCATTTATAAATGCAATTAGAAAATATAAGTAGTTTTGTTAAATATAAATTAAGTTATAATAACACAATAAAATTAGCAAGACGAAGCAAATAAATTAAAACTGTTTTTAAAAATCTCCACATCATGGACCCAGAAAGCTTAGCGCACACTGTGGACAAGTCACAAATGCCCCCGTTGCATCAAAAACGAGTATTGGCATTTATTAATCACTTTATAATAAATTCATGTAATTTCCTCAACGACTTCGCAATGAAATGTGAAACGAAATTCATTGATTTGGAGAGAAAGATGCAAAAAGTTGACGCAGCTTTAACCATCATTGAGGCAAAGGTTACTATGTGAGAGATTGTTAATTTAAAAACCAACTACTTAAAGTATTTCAATCACTTTGAAGCTTTCATCTGTGCCTGATATTCAAGACACCACAGCAGCTGCTACTGCCAATGGTAATGTTATTATGAGTGCTGCTCAGGATACCGTGGATAAGACTGAAAATAAACAAGAAACAATAGCTATTACGGCTGACAGTTCTCCAACAATAGAACCAATAATAGAAGATTCATCAACGGAGACAACAGGTGTAAGGGCCTGTGATGATGTGCGCTTTAAAAAGTTTTTCAAAATGGTGCAGTTCGGTGTACCAGCTGAAGCGGTTAAAATGAAAATGCAAGCGGAAGGCGTTGAGCCAAGCTTACTAGAGTATGCTTATTAACACATATACTTAATAAATGGAATAATTTCTATATTTTTCAGTACTCCAAATTTGCTGTTAGCGGATGGTGTTATTGACTAAAGCCCATTAAAAGTTGAACTAAAGTCCATCATGAACAAACAAGAAAACAAGCGAAAACATCTGTTTGTGCCTGTAAGAGATGATACATACTTCTCCTAAATAAGCATATCGTATAATACTAATGTCCACCAACGAAATATGTATGAATATTTAGTTCCACTCTATTCGCTAAGTATTTATGTGATATATTTAATCCCTAGCCTACATAGCATAAGTTTCAAATAAAAGATAAACTTAAATTTTTTTTGTATTTTCTTTTAATTCAATGTTTTAAGTAAAAAAACATTGCTTTAAGCATTTCTTTTATTTCTTTTTGAGCTACTTAAAAACAATACTTTTAAACAAAGCACTTTCTAAGCAGCCCGCATTGGTACGAAACAGTAAAACAAAATAAAAGTAGATGGTGCGTGGAATTTATTGAGGCGAGTAATTTAGAACTGGATCATTTGTCCCTTGCGCTTCTTGTCACCACCCAACTCGAAATGTTTGCAACGCTTCAGAGGTGTCTGCTTGCGGTATTTGCATTCAGTGCACTCCATACGCAACACAATCTTTTTGGTGGTCTTAGCCTGTAATTAAAAGGAAAAAACATTAAAAATGTGCTAAAAATTTTACTTAAATAGTCATGAAATATAAATATTTGTATGAATGTTCCAACTTAACAATTGCCTTTAAGTTTAAACAATTGCGTATTAAGAGTTTTCAGCATTCAAAATTAATATTGCATACATCTATCCCACCAAAGAGCCTTGTAGTGCAGCTTATGCATCACAACGGCAATTCAGTTCTACAAATATGCAAATACAAAAAAAAATAATGTAATTTAACATCATTTTTACCTTCTTCCTGAAGATGGGCTTAGTTTGACCGCCGAAACCTTGTTGTTTTCTGTCGTAACGACGTCTGCCTTGAGCACCTTTACGCTCCTTGGATTTCTTATATTGTGTCACCTTGTGTGGCTTGTGGCACTTGCATTTCTTGCAAAAGGTGCGACGTTGTTTCGGCACATTCACCTGAAATTCGATAAGAAATGGTAATTAGCACTCCTTATTAACACATTTCCAATTGTAAATTATAATTTCGCAAACACTGTTGTACTCGCAAATATATTTATCAATGTAATTAATATTGAAAATAATTACACCAAAAAACTCTACATTATATATAGTTTCATTAGAAATTTATATTTTCACATTATGCACATTAATATCAACGATGCTTTGCGATTTTAATATAGAATTTTTGTTAAATTTTCCGCAAACGTACCATCTTGACGATTCTTGTTTGTCAAAGAAAGAGAAAAAAGAAGGGGAGAGAGAATAAACGGAAATGATACCAATGTCAGCTGTCAAAATAAATAACAAAGTCAACAACTGTCACAATTATGCTTATGAAACATAGCGACATGGTTGGTAGTGACTGCGTTCACAAATTAGCTATACTATTGCAGGCAAGTATCGTTTGAGATTTTTGGATTAGTATTGTTTTTATTTTTGCGGATATTAAAAAAGTTTAAGTTATGTAGCTACTTATGTATGTATATTTAACAACTTCTCAAACATTTTCTTACTTTTAACATGTAAATCTATTGATTTTCAATGAATATTTATTAATGGCTTTCATTGACTTTCTAGTGGAGAGTAGTATTTGCTAAGCCATTCCAGGGACATTGTCACTGTTTACAGAAGTCTCTGAAGTAGCCTGACCGCAACGCGTATGTAGCCCCGAAGTACCCACAGAACGACAAGGGGACTTTGTATTAAACCTGTTAATTTAAACTCACAGATGTTACAGTTTACTAGGGTAAGCCCAAAAAACCATACGAGAAACTTTATTTACAAAATTCAAAGATCTCTACACTAAGGATGTTAGCACTCCTATAATGGTTCTTACATTTTAATAATCGGTGGGTCGCACCACTCAGTTCTGGCCATGTTTGCCTCCTACAGGTTGTAGATATATATATTGTCTTTTTACCTGGATCTAATTGTAGAGTAAAGAACCCTCTGTAGATGAGTCGTGTAGTACGCCGCTGGCCCTGCTAGCAGATCAAGACAAAAACTCTTTGGCAAAAACTCTCTTTGTGATGACCAGCAGGCTCTATTAATTGACAGCCTGAAAAAAACTAGATGCATATTGCAAGCAAATAGCGAATCTAGCCCCCTTTTTGTCGAAAAAAAAGCCTCCTTTATGATTTTCTAATTTGGGTCGGGCCGTATAAGATGATGACGACTTTGTCTACTTGTGCAACGGGAAGGGTGCATTTAAATTTATTTCCAGCGGAGTGCCGACTTCGGCGCCAGTTGCTTAGAGCGAAAGTCTCACTGACTCAGATGTAGTGTAATGTCCAATGCCTGAGTCGACGTTGTTCTAAGGGACTTAAGCCATTAATGTTGTGGTGAAAAAAATTGTTCCAACATAATTCTTGGGGGGTGTTGCGGGAGTGACAGCCCTTGGCCGTATAAAAACGCCGAGTTGTTCCGGTATAAAGACCCCACCTTCGCGGGAACTATTGGATTGTAGCCGCACTTACGACAGGAATGCCTTACCGCGGTTAAATTCTTGAAACCCTAACCCCTAAGCCACTAATATATGAGCGTACTAGCAGCTACTAGAATATTTTTTATATGTTTTACCGCGTTTCTCTTTTTTATTATTGGTGTTTCAACCAATAAACCGTAAATCATAAATGGCCTTACACTAATATGTTACGCGAAGTGTTAAATCCAATTTGGGCTTCAGCTTACTTTTTCATATATAAAAATGCAGCCTTTTTTACCATATTTCAAAAAAGAGGTTTCCATGAGAGCTTCATGTCTAGTTTTAATCCCAGCTAGCTCGCTTTTTCTCCCCAATGATAGTATTCCACCATTCGGCAAAGCGATTTATTTCGTACACAATTATATGATGAGAGAGGTTATTCGGATGCTTCCATTTAACTGAAGCAGGCAAAACGTCTGAACCTGAGCTCCCAGCGTTGAACTAATGAGCTTGCCCAAAAGCAACTTCAATTCAAGTAATTGTACAAGGGATTATGAGTTGCTCAGTGCTCTTAGCGCATTCATTATGGCTTTTGGCTGAATATTATTGAAAACGCCTACTAGGTCCGGAAGCCTATGAGTGTGTATTCCCTTACCTCTATGGAGGTTTTTCCATTTCCCCAATAATAGATTTTAATGCCGCTTCCGGGGATTTTCCTTTAAAGCACGCATGTTTTGATACTGCCAATCGTTCTGGCCTTAAGGGGTAAAGCCACACTAGAGGTTGAAATTTAGACTCATTTTTGAACATTAATTGTAGAAATATAGGAAAGGGAATACGATTTTTATTTAACCATTTCATTGGACATTCATTGAAGTATAAAAAAATATTATTTAATTATTGTTTTGTTACAAAATGGCGGTTAAAAAGTCTATTACTTCCTCCTTTTTATTTTGAACGGCGTTCACGGGAGGAACGATTTCTCCTAAATGATGAGACCTAGCGCAGAAAAGTCAAAAGTTGTATGATCTACGAACTTTGGTTTTTTGGAAGTATGTACGTACGAATCTATTTTTTAACTAATTTTTATGAAGCAACCATCAAAATTTCAGATAAATCGGTGCAATAGCGTCAGAATAATGTGTCCTCCAAGTTTGAAAAATGTGAATTGGAGTAAAACCATCTTAAGGTTTACCTTGTACTCAGCGCACGCTCTGAGGGGCTGCAGCAAAATAAAAAATTCAGATACTTGAAATATTTTTTTTTCACTTTAAAACCAATTGCATATCGTTTCTAGGACCCAAAGGAATCCTGTGAGTAAAAAAAAAATATGGGTTTGCTAAATCCTAGAGTGACTTAATCCATTAAGTAATTTTTATATGCATTTCACTTAATCGATCTAACGATTTTAAGAGAAAATTAGATAGACTAATTGATCTTAATTCTTCAGGGCTAGTATGAGAGCTTTCTGCTGCTTTTGATATAAATATTAACTTGACTTTCCTCTATGAGGAAGAAATATATATTTATATTTATTTGCAGCATTCTTTTGAGGAAAATTTCAAACTAGACTGATATATGATCCCAGAATTGTTGGAGCGCATAAAACTGTCTATTGCCCAGCGAACATTAATTTCTGACACTAAGTTAACTCTAAAATATTTGGACCTATCTCCATTTCCGTGTCTGGCTCATACTCAGCAGCATAGCTTACTGAGCTGCCCGGGAAGTAAATATCCATCCATTAGTAAACCATTTAGAACCATACTCAGTAATAAATAGTATTAAATATTTATTTCATCTCAAGAAGCCTTCGTAGCTTCGATATTACTTCTGACCTTCGGTTACGGTGCTATATTGTAGAATTTAAACTAACCACACATCCCGCTCTTGGTCAAGCTGCGACCTTTTTTATACTAAATAATCATTTTACGTGTTCAAAAAAATAGTGCTGTTTTGTTATATATTAAAACCCCTGTCCTTCGTACTAAAGCTTTAAACTCATTTTCAACTTCAATCAACGCGCTGCAAAGAAATTTCACGCCAGCTATTCAGATATTGGGTAATTGTAATTGCGGATTTTATAAAAGAAAGTAAATGCATTTTTAATAGAACTTAGAATGAACTTTAATCAAATATATAATTGCCATTTTGTTTGATAACCTTTTGCCATCTTCCTGGCAAATTTAGTATTCCACGCTCATAGAACTTCTGGCCTTTATCTGCAAAAACCTGAACCAAGTGCGATTTTATAGCCTCATCATTGCCGAGAGTTTTACCATTTAAGGAGTTCTGCAAAGATCGAAATTAATGGTAGTCTGATGGTGCAAGGTCAGGGCTATATGGTGGATGCATCAAAAGTTCCCAGCCAAGCTCACTCAGTTTTTGGCGAGTGACCAAAGATGTGTGCGGTCTAGCGTTGTCCTGGTGGAATATGACACCTTTACGATTGACCAATTCTGGTCGCTTCTCCTTGATGGCTGTATTCAATTTGTCCAATTGTTGACAGTAAACATCCGAATTAATCGTTTGGTTCCTTGGAAGCAGCTCAAAATATACGACACCCTTCCAATCCCACCAAACAGACAGCATAACCTTCTTTTGGTGGATATCAGCCTTTGAAGTGGTTTGAGCTGGTTCACCATGCTTGGACCATGATCGTTTTCGACTAACGTTGTTGTAAACAATCCATTTTTCATCTCCAGTTATGATTCGTTTTAAAAACGGATCGAATTCATTGCGTTTAAGGTGCATATCACAAGCGTTGATTCGGTGTGTTAAATGAATTTCTTTCAATACATGTGGTACCCAAATATCAAGCTTTTTCACCAGTCCAAGACTTTTTATGTGATAATGAACGGTTGATTTTGGTATATTTAACTTCTCTCCTATCTCACGCTCAGTTACATGACGATCCAATTCGATTAATGCTTTGATTTGGTCATCATCAACTTCATTTGGCCGACCTGAACGTGGCTCATCTTTAAGTGAAAAATCTCCAGAACGGAATTTGCGAAACCAATTTTGACACTGTCTTCCTTTTAAGGCTTCATCACCATACACATCTCGTAACTTTTTAGCAACCTGCTCCGCGTTTTTTCCTTTACGGAAATAATAAAGTAAAATATGACGAAAATGCTCCTTTGTGGGCTCCATATTAAAATTGACGCCAAACAAACAAATGTAAACAAAATTTCGCGCACTTTTTTTCTAAAGCAAGCTAAAAGTAACAGCTGATAACTGACAGAAGAAAGAATGGAATTACAGAGTCACAAGCCGTTGAAAAAATTTGTCAACGCCGACTATATGAAAAATCCGCAATTACTTTTTGGGCAACCCAATAGGTTTTAAGATCACTCATGCAAATACCTACATACATACATACATTTCACTAAGTAATTTCTCTGTTTTATTTATAATACAAAGATTTTAGTTGGAAAAGGTAACACCGTTTCAAAACGATTTTAAGTGCGGATGGCCTATAAGTATTAGGATCCCTACAGGATAAAGCACATGTAGATAATTTTTCTTTG